GTGGGTGGTTGTAAATTGTTGCTTGGTCTATATTTTGTTTCTTACAGGCTGTGGTGTTCCCTATTTTACCCCTCTAAACATGAACATGAATTTGTTTGTCAAGGCACTCAACAGGATTACATCATCTTGCTTGTCAGAGAATTAAATAACTTTTAAGCAGTGACAAATATTAAGTGTTGCAAATTCTAACATCCAGGAGAGAAGGTAAAATTAGTGCAGTAACAGAAGGCAAACAGAAATATATTGGGCTTGCAGCCCAGAAGACCAACTACATACTGGGCTGCATTAAAAGAGGAGTGGTCAGCAGGTCAAGGGAGGTGATTGTCCCCTTCTACTCTGCTCTTGTGAGGCCCCACTTGGAGTACTGCATCCAGGTCTGGAGCCCCCAGCACAAGAAGGATATGGAGCTGAGGACAACCACAAAGAGAAACACAAAGGCAATCAAGGGGCTGGAGCACCTCTATGACAATAGGCTGAGAGTTGGGGCTGTTCAGCCTACAGAAGAGAAGGCTCCAGGATGACCTTATTGCAACCTTTCAGTACTTGAAGGGGTCTTATAAAAAAGATGGGAAGCAACTCTTTGCTCAATGGGGTATTGATAGGATGAGGGGGAATGGTTTGAATCTAAAAGAGGGGAGGTTTAGATCAGAGGTTAGAAGGAAATTCTTCACTCAGAGGGTAGTGAGGCACTGGAACAGGTAGCCCAGAGAGGTGCCCCATCCCTGGAGGTGTTCAAGACCAGGTTAGGTGAATCCCCAAGAAACCTGATCTAGTGGGTGGCATCCTTGCCTATGGCAGGGGAGTTGGAACTAGATGATCTTTGAGGTCCCTTGCAATCCAGGCCATTCTATGATTTTATAATATATGCTTCTTCCACCAAAATCTGTGTTTATGCTTGTTTCTTACAAAGAACTTCCTAGGAAAATCAGTGCTACAGGAACAATGCATCTCTGCCAGTGTTTAATCTCACAACATTAGCTCAAGGCTTCCCCCTTATACTGAATTATCTTTTTGAACTATCTCAGAAATCCCTCATTAAATCTATTACTCTGTTTAATCACCGTACTCCTACAAAGTAGAGAGTAAGATTCAATTAGCTGATTGGGAAGATGTTGAAACAGGAAGGAATTCTAAAGGAAATGGGGAAAGGATGTGATCTTGTAGTTTAAGTACAAAGCTACAATGAGTAGTGGTTTCTATCTTTGATTCTATCATGAACTGTTTGAGACACTAGGGGCCAAATTTCCAGTGACATGAAATGCTTCCGGGTACATGTTACTGTACTGGGTCTGGCTGGAATGTTAACTTTCCTGGCAGCAGCCCATACAGTGCCGTACTCTGTACTTGTAGCTGGAACAGCAGTGTTATCACACCAGTGTTGTGTCTACTGCTGAGCAGCAGTGGCACAGCATTGGGCCTTTCTCTAACCTTCCTAGGGGATGGGCAAAAAGTGAGGAGAGAAACATCATTAGGGCAGCTGACCTAAACCAATCAAAGGGATATTCCATACCATGTTGTGTCACACTCAGCAATAAAAGGTGGAAACAGGAAGAAGAGGGGAAGGGTGGGCTCTCGTTGAGAAGACGTCGGTTCTCCTCTCGAACACTGGCTGCGTGCATTGAGGCCTTGCTTCAAGGACATGGTCAATCATTGCTCATTTGTGGGAAGTAGAGAGTAATTTCTTTCCTCTGCACTTCCATATAGCTTTCATTTGTTTTGTTTGTTTGTTTTCCTCCCTTCTTTTTATTTTCCCTTTTCCCCTTCCTTTTCCCCTTTCCCTTTTTATTTCCCCTTAGTTAAATTGTTTAGTTCATGGTAGTCTTTATTTAATTATTATAATTATTTCCCTTTAATTAAATTATCCTTATCTCAACTCGGGAGTTGTTCTTTGCTTTACTTCTCCCCCTCCTCATCTAAAGGAGGGGGAGTGAGAGAGCGGTTGTGGGGTTTAGCTGCCCAGCACGGTAAAACCACCACAGTTACTATGCAATCAGCACAAACACTTACAGCTCATGGACAGCAGTGAGGGAGGAACTATAACTAAACAAGAAGATGAGAACTTCTTCCAAATTTTGGGTGGATCTGTATCTCTTTTCCAAATCCCTGATAAAAACAAACACACTTTATGCCAAAAGGAGATGAAAATAAATTTCTAAACACATTGTGAAATTACATTCTTGTTTTCTTGCTTTTAACAATTAATTTAACAGTGTTCACATGCTCAAAGTGCTATCTAACAGTTACATAGAGTAACAGCTTAACTACCACAGTTCCTCAATTTTTAGACATTTCTAACAGACTTGTTCTTTAGGAGAGACTTTTATTTATTTTTTTTTTTAGAAATTTAGTCACTAGCAAAAAAAAAATTTTATAATAAATTACAGTGACCTGTTACAGCTATCTTATAGAAAATGATATTGCCATTAAAATGTTTATTGTATAACTATGTGTTCTGAATGATCTCTGAGCCCTTGCACTTCTGTATTATGTAGCTGCAAATAAATGATCAAAAGTGGTTAATCAACTAGTGATTCTTGGACAGCATTCTTTTTTGTTATAGAATTGTATAACTTGGAATGGACAATTTCTTTTCAGAAAGCAGATTCCTTTGAACAATGCCTTTTGAGGATCAGATCTGTTTTCTCCCCTGCTTAGCCTTCTCTTCATATCTATTAAAGAGATATGAACACACAGAATGTTTCAGTTTGTTCAAAATAGGTTGAGATACTTCAACATACTAACTTATAAATAAAAGTTTCTGGGATAACAGTTTGGAAGTGGTAACAGCGAAGTGCACTAGGATAAGCTTCAAAGGAGCAGGAGCGATGACAGAATAACTATATAAAGTTTGCCTTGAACTTTAGGGCAGCTTCTATTCCTCATCTAAACACATTTTTGTTCAGCATCTCCCTGAAATTCTGAAAAGATTCCCTGGAATGAAAACTATGAATACAGTTGTATTAGTAACTTTATTCCTAGCAAGCATAAAAGAAATGTGCTTATGTTCATTGCTCAAACCACTATTTTTGTGCTTTCAGACTTTTCATGTATAAAGAACTTGCAACCCAGCCCTTTTAGAAGATAACATAAAAGAAGCAATACATACCAATACAAAAAGGAACAAACACTCATGAATTAATTCACTTTACATTTATATCTCTGAGGAATTGTTTTTTTTCAGCTGAATGTCAGCAGAGAAAATTGTAAGAAAGAGCAAATAAAAAGGGGGCCTTTCAACTAAATTAAACCTGCTTCAATTGACTATATAGTTAAACTGTTCACTCCTGCTAGATTACATGTATACTGCATATCAGCTACTACTCATGAATAATTAATATTCATTATAAATCAAGAGTTTCTCTGAGGTTTTCTCTGCCTGGATTCAGACAGATAATGACAGTCCCTTCAGGTCATCTTTGCCCAGGTTTACGTCCATATTGTCAGGATATTTGACTATCATGACAGCAAGACAATATATGAGGTTGCTTTATTATATTGCTGAATTATATACCGGGAAGAAACGTCATGACCTTTAATTAAAATAGTTGGACCAGCATGGTCCTATCTATTGCCTCATTTTAGTCCTTCAAATAACAATGTTTCCTTGTTTTCTCCCTGAACTCAGATGACAGGTTTCTGGCCATGGCTGCCAGTGGTAGACAGCAAATATTATTTAGTATAATTTGAAAGAACTACATACATAGATTGCACAACAGCAGAGTTTGGCTACTAGGCTGTTGCAGAAGCACATCAGGTGTTCTTGCAAGTTTCTGACTGCTAGCATTTACTTCAGCAACACACAGAACTGATCATGTAAGTTCTATTTTCATTACTTATTTTTAATGCAAGAAGAGAAAAAAAGATAAACACCTAGAACTCTGAAGATTAGACCTTTCAATAGGTTGTAAACATCACTGTGAACTTTGCCTAAAAACCTTTTGGTATCTGGTGTGACTTGGAGAACAGCTTGTATAATCCAGTATTTGATATCAATATTACATGATTTGAAGTAGCTTTCATCTTTAGAATATGCAACAAATGATAGAACCTCTAAGTATCAAATTGCTGTTTCAAAAGGATAAACCTATATTTTGATTAATTTACTCTGACATAGTCAAAAAGAAAGCACAAATATATATCTTTAGATCTATATAAATCTCCTTAATAGCAACCACATGCTCAGTTTCACACGTTGTATAAGACAGTAAAAGTTAAAACAACCTGATTAAAAATCAAAGAGGCCAAGCGGAAGTGAGAAGCTTATGCTGATGCCATTTTACATAGCTGGGAAAAGCAACATTCTCCATGTTAAGGGAAGTTTCATTTTCTTATCCCTGTATCTTTCCCTTTATTCCACAAATCCCACTGGAAGTGAATGTATTTAAAACAATTTTTACCACTTACATTAGCTTGCTAGTATTAAACTTTCTCGGTAAGTTTTTTCCAGTTTTCATAGGACTTAATTTTATTAAGACCAGCCATAACCTTGACTGGTCCTTATCTGCAGGAACATTCTCTGAAAAGGATAAACAATGAACTTAAAGGCCACCAAAAGAAAAACATGGGCAGCCAGTCTTAAGCAATCCTTTTACAAGACTGTTCAGATTCAAAAGGAGATTATGGTTAACATTGCTAACAGCAGCTATAAATCTAAGAGAATTGACATAGAGATGTCTTCATCTACCATGAGTGTAAAGAAAGTGTGAATAAAAGTTTGAGCTAATTCCAGTTGAAATAGTTTCAGTTACTTACTTGGTCATGTTGCCCTTTCAATATTTGAAGCTGAAGCAAAAGACATGGGAATCATTGCTTCTAAAAACAGTGCAGTTCTCTGTGCTGTGCTTTGCACACTGTTAAACAAAGCCAGATAAACAAAAACAACAAAGCTGCTGCTCATCCTGCTGATTTTTTTTTTTTTTTTTTTTTTTTTTGCTTTGTTTTGCCCTGCCCCTTTCCCAGGTGTTTGGTTGTGTGCCAGGTGGGCCTAATGGTATATAAGCTGCAGGTGTCGGTGTCCCACCAGAGAGCTCTTTTTACCTGAGTGGTACTTTGGAGGTGAGTGTTTTGTTTTTCCTTCAGCCCCTTGCAGGGTTCTTTAGATGGGTCAGAGTATATGGGCTAAGATGTTTCTAAGTTGAGAGAGATAAGCATGCCTTTTTGAGGTAATAACTAGTAGGGTCTTTCAGAGTAAAGCAAACTGTATAGTAGTAGGTACCTTTACTGCATGCAGCTCTTCTTCAGGTGAGTAATTTTTACAGTGTGCTTGTGGATAGGAAAATGATGTTATTTTATGTGTTTGCTTTGTGGTTCTAGGTCTCTTATGAGTTTTGCAGAATTATGGGGCTTACTGTGAATGTAACCTCATGCCTTCATTTATATGTTAAATATTGTCAAACTTACCACCTTGCTGTTAAAGCAATGGGAAATGTATTATCCAAGTTCCCTGTGCCAGTGAGTATCTGAAAACAGTAAAAGTAAACACATAAGGTATAGTTTCCTCAATGGCTACAGGCAGTTTCTTATATTTCTGGAGCTTTTTTTCCTGTTGTTTTGTTGGCTGTAGAGTCTTTAGACCTTGTAGCCTTCTAGATATTAAGTGCTTGGAATTCCCATAATGTTTAGCAGAGGTTGCCAGCTAACTTGTTTTTGCAGTGTGGTGGGGTACACTTCTGGTTTTGGGTTATGTTTTAATCTCTGACTATATCAAGCCATTTGTTTAACTCTCTAGAGGATTTACAAAGAGCTTCAGTAGGCACTGCAAGGGGCTTGACTACATAGGTGTAGTGTTACCAAGAGACTGAGCAGGGTCACCTTTCCTTTCACCTGGAAATAATGAAAAGGATGTGTTGCGTTCTCCTCACTTAAGCTATTTTGAGACTTAGATACAATTCAAATATCTAAATTTCTGAAAATGCTACTACAATATATATGATTGAAATCATCTATAAAGTTACATATGCTGAGAATGCAGAACCTCTCCCCCTATTAAAATGTAAGGAATCATTGATGCTTGAAGATTGGGGCAACTTCTGCCATAAGCATACTCTGTTGTAAAAGGTTTATTTAATAATAAAAAGGAAGTTATTTTTTATCAAGATAAAAGTGCAAATGAGGATTAGCCATAATTATAGAAGCAATGGAAAACACAATTTGCACAAATTTTCTTTTTTAAGTTATCAGTACTTCCTTGTCTTGCATTGAATTGTGGGATGTACTTGGTTTGAACATACCCATATTTAATTGCTCATTATATATTTGTTCAAATACTTAAAATTGCTGTAGTGTTCATATCATCATTCTCCTGTGATTTAATACCAGTTAATTCATATAGAGACTAAGGTATTTGCAAACCAGTAGCAGGTACTTCTGCCTGATTCTTTTCTCAGACAACGTGATGTAAAGCACATTGAAACAAGGCTTACAAATATTTCTTTTAAATAAAATATTTATTTGAATTTGTTCAATTCTGAATTTAGGCTAAGTCCTATAAGGCATTTTTCTGTTTCATGTATCTACAGCTAACCTAAAAATAGTTTTGTGAACACTAGAGCAAAGTGAATCCTGGTATTTTATATAGCTAGTGGTTTAACCATAATTTCAGCTAATTGCTCTTCCAATTTTTTCCACTTCAGTACCCGCAGTACCATCATCACCCTTTCCGTTTCTTACCTTAATACTTACAAATCTCTTTAGTTTATTAGACTTACAAAGTAGGAAAAGCAAGTTTAGAGGCAAGACAACTGTTGCCATGTGTCTAGTTCATAAGTCTAAAGAGCTCTCTTCAGCTGCTGAAGATGAAACAACTGTCTCTAGGAGAGCTCTGTGAAGACTTTTCATACCCTTCTTATCTGAGCTTATGTAGTGTATATATCTTGTTCTGCTAAGTTAAGCAGAAACTAGCCAAAGATTTAAAGTATCTAGAAAAGAGATTTAAAAGACAATAGAGACTATATGATCACATATTTTTTTCTCCATAGAAATTTGTCCAAAAACTAGGAGCTCTAAAATATTTTCATTTTAATGAAGAATAACTACATAAATACAGGCATAAAAAAATCAGTATGTATGGTTGAACACTAGCAATGAAACGTGGCTGTAATGGAATCATGGTGTCATATCAAAAATGTTTTGTGATAATCCTGAAGCTCTCATGACCAATGAGAATAAACATGTATAGTCATTGAAATGTATGTACAAATACACTTTAATATACAAATAAAACTGACAACTTCATAATTACAGATTCACAAGATGTATGAGGTTGGAAGGGACCTCTGAAGATCATCTAGCCCAACCTCCATGCCAAGCAGGATCACCTAGAGAACGTTGTGCAGGATGGCATCCAGGTGGGTTTTGAATAGCTCTCAGGGAAGGAGACTCCACAACCTCTTCGGGCAACTTGTTCCAGTGCTCTGTCACCCTCACAGTAAAGAAATGCCCTCTCATATTCAGCCAGAACCTCCTGTGCTTCAGTTTGTGCCTGCCTCTTGTCCTGTCACTGGTCACAGTGATAATAGTGCTTACTTGTTTGTTTAGCTGACAGACTTTCAGCTGTAGAGTTTTTCAGCCTGTAGACAAAAATATTTGACAGTGATATTCAGAACTCTTTTTTTTTTGGGGGGGGTGATCAGTTTTGCAAATATTTTTTAAGTTATTGAAAATAGTTAAACTATTTAATTTGCATTTTCATTTATGGGCATCAGAAATAGCATGCAAGTAATCTTACGTAGAAACACTGAAATTGTCAATATGTTCTCTATTATGAGTTCTTCAAAAGGTATTTCAAAGTATCTGTGCTAGTAGAAGAAAATCTCTTCCCCATCTGATCAGTTTTCTTTGTTTCTAACGTTAATATTTCCTTTACTCATCCAAGTATTTTTCTAGAAGTATAAACCAGGCATTAAAAGCCACTTAAACTGGAGGTACTCATTAACCACAATTTGATTCAATTGGTCTTGCAATCAAACCTCACTGACAGTTACCAAAAGATCTCTCTTTGACTTGCTCTTACTGACAAATGCATGCTCATTTGTTAAAATGATGATTTGACTATGATGAATGCAAGTTAATATTTTTGTAGTATGCTATGCAAAAAAGGCTTAAGGAATAATAGATGGTGGCTTCCAGGTGACTGTAGCAAGAATATTACAACCTGGCCTTGACTAGAGCTAAGTGACTGAACATCATTATCTGTGGCAGACAAGACAATTCAAATAAGAACGGAATGCAGTGTGCTTTGGTAGGGGCCCAGTAACAACGAGTGACAGGAGAACACCTGAGACTGATGGATAGGTGCAGTGCAATGTTGCCATGGACTGACTTGATTGATGGCTTGTACTAACATGTGGCCACAACCCCTCACCCTCCAAGGATAGAGACTGGGGAAAACACTGCTACACAGATGTGCAGCATTGCATATGAACAGAACCCATACCAGGGCCAAACCTCTGCCCAGAGCTTCACCCTGAGCATGGCTAGGGCAACCACCTCATTTTCCCAGGCTGGGCTCTTCTGACCCTCTGAAATGGTGCCAAGTTTCAGCTAACTGCAATTTTGCTTGTGTACATGTTTCTCAAAGATGAGGTGCCAATTATTTTACCTCAGTTAAAAAAAAAAAAAGTACCTGATACTCAAGGCTGGTTATCTGTTGTATTGTGTAAAGAATAGCATTTATGTAAAAGGTGATTGCAATCTTACATCTCTCCTGATGCTGGGATCCTTGGCTGTTGCAACATTGGATGAGACTTGCATGTGGATCACAGTATCTTTGGTGTATTTTCCATCTATGGTGGGGATGGCCAGCCTCTCTGTTCCTCACATCTTTATAATAAATACTCTAAGTGGACAAAGCTATCAGTCTCGTATCTGTACATTGCTGAAATTCCTAGGTGGTGCACAGAGACTTTCTGAGGGCATTACACTCTTACACATCTCTGTAGGAGAGCAGTATATAGTTAGGCAGTACATGCTGACATCACAGTAGATCACTCAAACTAACATACAGGTCTTTAAAATTAAGGCCTATGGTTATAGTCTGTATAGCCTATATTCTGCTTGACATCACTATTTTGTTATAACTATATCTTCCTTGGTGGCCCACTACTGTGTACATAAGTCTCTTTCTGTAGATATATGCCAAGCTATTTCCAGCATAGCCTATCCTTCATTTGGTCATCTTTATAGACTGATTTTTGCAGTGCCAGTGGACCTTTTTTCCTATTTTGCCTCATGGCATTAATAGGATATTTCAAACTAGATTGCTAGTGTAGGACATAGGACCTGACATCTAGAGTTTCAAAAGTGATTAAATTCAATTGCAACATTTTGCCAGGTAGCTGTTCTTGAGACATACTGAAGAGACCGGATTCTGTGTGTGGCAGACTCCTTAATATAACATCTTAGATATTTTTTTTTCTCTGTATACTTGTTTTGAGTTAACCCTAGTAGGCAGCTAAACCCCATGCAGCCACTTGATGACTGGAATGGGAGAGAGGATGGGAAGAGTAAAAATATTAAAACTCCTGGGTTAAGATAAAGAGAACTTAAAAGGTGAAGCAAAAGTTGTAGAAAGGGAGGAAGGACGAAAGAAAAACATTCTCTACTTCCCATATACAGAAAGATGTTTAGTCATTTCTAGGAAATATGAAATTTGTCATATATAATGGTTGCTTTGGAGGACATGCATTAACTCTGAATAGCCCCCTTTTTAGCTTCTTTCCCTGAGCTTTTATTGCTAAGCACTGTGTCATATTGTATGGAATATCCCTTAGGTCATCTGGCGTCAGTTATTCTGGCTGCATCCCCTTTCAGCTTCTTGTGCACCTTCTGGTCTTTTCATGGGGGAATGCAGTGAGAAACAAAAAGTCCTTGATATTTTGCAAGTACTTTTGAGTAATAGCTAAAACATCAGTGTTTTACTAAGACTATTTTGATTTTGAATCTAAAACATACCACCATATGAGCTTCTACAATGATCAACTCCAACCCCACCTGATCTAGTGCAATAGTTCAGAGCTTTTCATGTAACTTTGTCTAGAGTGTATTTGATCTGTTGGTTGGTTGGTTGTTCTTTAAGTATTGACATGAGCCAAAAAAAATCACACTGATCATTAGAATCAATACTGAGTAAAACTGCCATATCCTGGAGTAACTTTTCTATGACCTTGGAGGAAACCTAAGCACAGATATAGGCTGAAGGTTGTGTTCACAGCACTTCAAAGACCATGCTCCACTAAAAAAAAAAAAAGTGTTACAACTTGGGACGAAGATATTTTCTGTCTTTTCCTGTCTTGATGACTGAAGCATGATTAGATATGTCAACAACAACTTAGTAATTTGTTAAGCTAAAGTTTCATTTAGTTTTAAATTCATTTTAATACTAAGGGTAATGTAAAATATCCTTGGACATAATGCTTAAAAAATAGAATTTCACATCACAAGTTTGTCGAATTATAATGGAAAGAAATGTTATTACCACTCTTTTCTCTTGACATATGACTTACAATTCTAATGTCTATCCTTCTTTGAAACTTTAAATTAATGTGTTCACTGATTGACAATGACACAAGGTAAAATCTTACAGAATTCATCTGTATTTGCTGTGATTATTGGACAAGCATTTTGATAAAACCCAAGGTGAATAAATTGTTGTGACCTTAAATAGATGATCTGAGATCCTGAAAATAAAAAAAAAAAATACATCAATCCCAACCCTCTTTACCTTTTTCCTATAAAATGTTGTTTGCAAGTTAAATTGTTCCAGTAGCTTTCTTACTTCTTATTATTCTCCACTTCTTTTTAACTTCCTTTACAGCTTCTAATCTTCATTTTTTTACAAGTAGAATTTATTATGAAGCTTAGTGGTTTTTTTGTTGTTTAGCAATACAAAGCTTAAATATCGTGGAGCAGTAACAACCTGGTTGCAAAATCTCCCACATAGAAGACTGAAAAAAATACTTTGTCTACATTATTTATAGAATATACATTAGCAGTTCAGCAGCCCAAATGGATAAGAAAATAAATATGGAATTTCAAACCAAAATCATCTTAAAACTAAAGAAACTAAATTCTAATATTCAGCTGAGCCCCTGAGTTGTTTGAGTGGAAGAAACAGCAGAAATCCTTGGCTCACATTTTCCATGCTCCTCTTGATTTGACAGGTGTTGTCATCTGCTTGTTGTTTCTTTCCAAGATTGAATAATTTTATTTTTTGGCATTTACATTTAAAAGCCTCTGTTTTGTATCTTCTGTTTTTGAGATTGGATGTTTGAAACTACTCACATTAAGAGATGAGTACACCCTGGATTTATTACTGTGACATAAGGATGTTTTATTTTTTTACCCTGTTCCTTTCCTAATATTTCAAACATTCAGTTTTGTTTTTGTTGTTAATAGTGAGTAGAGAGCTAATACACATATGGATACAAACAATACATATCAATACACTTGCTGGATCTTCCTGTAACTAAGATGAGGTGGATAATTTGTTTTTGTTTGTTTTGGGGTGTGGCTGTATGTTTAGTTTGGTTTTGTTTGCTGCACATAGTGGCAGCATTACAGTGTGCCATGAAACAGATAGCTGTATCAAATGGGAAAGGGAAATGTTTCCAAATGTATGTTACAAAAACTCCTGCTTTGGCATTTAGAATCAAGAAAACTGAACTGTGCTCATGGACTGTTCAAAAATTATGCAAATGAAAAGTTCTTTATATGCTGGGTGTAAAAGAAGTTGGTAATATGTCTTCAAATGATTTGCAAGTTCTCTTACTATGATTACTTCATAACTTCTTATATCTAAAACTGTTAGATGAGCTGCATGTATTTTTAGTTAAAAGTTGCATGTGTAATTTACTCAACAAAAACAATTATTACTGTTCTTCATAATTCAGTTGTTGAACTGTTGGCAAAAGACATAACACTAGTAATAAAATGGACTCCTACAAAATATTGTAAAATAAAGTGATTAAAGCCTAGCAGAATAAAGGCAAGTAAAAAGCATCATTTTGCTACTGGGACTGTGAGTAAATTGCTTGTTTAAAAAAGAAAAGGTTAATGTGTGGCTTGGGGGAAATAGAATTGTTTGATAGCTCAGTAGAGAACTGACCCACCTGTATCTCAGACTTAAAACAATATGACTAAGTAATATAGTAAATTATGAGAAAAGCTTTGTGATTTTAGTGAGGGTAACAGCAGTTAACCTTTTAAAGCTGTTACATAAACAGTTTAAGACTTTCTATTAAACCAGTGGAGAAAGCATTTTCATAGATCATGGAAACAGCACAAAATCACCTAGTCTCTAAACTGCTGGTGACTTCAGACTGTTTCTACTTTTATACATTTTTTTTGA